TCATTGAACTTAAGAAAAATTATTGGGGACATTTAGCTCATCAGTAAGTAGACACTGATTTGCAGCTACACAGCATGAAGAACTAATTCAATTTGTAGTTCATGAGCATTAAGTAAAATCTCCAAAGGAAAGAAAAAATGGGTGATAGAGGAAATAGGCTGATGTTGATGGTTATTACAAATAGCAAAAGGAAGAAGCAAAAGAATGTACATTAATGAATAAAGAAATAGAAATGGGCGAGGCCCCTGAACTCGAGGATGCCCGGCAGCCGCGCATCAGAGAGGCGCTCCCGGCCAGCAGCTGAAGTTGACGCTGAAGGGTGGAGGGATGAAGGGGCGAGGCTGCCCCACGACCTGTGAGGGGCGGTGAGGACGTCCGTGGACATCGAGAGAACACAGAGGAGATGGCAGAGGTAGCCGAGGTTCCCGCGACCTGACCGACCTCTGGGGAGGCCTTCTAGGTCCAAGCCCCTGACTCTTCCTTCTCTACAGCATTTACTTTAGAAAACCTGGAACTGTAAATCTCTTTTTTCCCTTTCTGACATGGAAACCCTCCTCCCAGCCTCTTGCCGGTTTAGCAAACCAGAAATGGCTTTCTCGAGGACGCTTCCCTTCCCTGAAATCATCAGGGAAACAGGCCCGACCTCCCGGTGTCTGTGGAAGGGCAGGGCCCTGGCTTGGGTGAGCACTGATTAGCAATCACAGTGGCATCATCGTATTGACCGAACTCCTTTCTGGAAAAGTCCTGCAGTACTTTTCCACCAGCTCCTCTGTTTTGGTGGAGTCGAATTCAACCTCTCTCCCCTCTCGCACTAGTCTTGAGTAAAGACCGCCCTCCTGTCTAATGATCCACTACGATATTTCAAAAGAACAGGTAACACGGAGGCCTGAGAACATGCAGGTGAGCAGGGACTCAGCACAAGGCTGGGCGAGCTGTAGCCGTGACCGAGGCGCACATGGGTCTGCTGGACTCTGGCCGGCGGTCTGGGGCCGTGTCCCCGGGCTCTCGTGAGGGCCCGGTTGCCCAGCATTGCCCGCCCTGCTGAGAAGTGGCTCCAGGTGAAGAAAACACCCACCACAGATCCCCAGTCAGCACCCACCCTGGATAAACCATCACCACTTGCCAGCGTTCAGAGGGCAGGGCAGAGCCTCCGGTGGGGGCGCTTAGTGGTGAGGAGGAAACATTCACTTTTAAAACTATTGGATGGAACATCTGTCTCTGGAGCCCGGCTGAGGTGCCTCAGCGGTGTGGAGAGAGCAGTAGTGAGAGCTGGGAGTCGGGGAGAGAGTGTCACCGGGAGGGCTAGGCATCGGTTCCGTCCATCCCACCTACCGTCCCTGCGGTGTCTCTGCGCGGTGTAGCTGGAATTCCATTCCACTGTGGCCAAGAGCTCATCGGTGGGCCTGCTGCTGTCTGAAGACCAAGGCCGTCTTTCTAATCCTGCCAGATCCACTACCCACCGGCTTGTAATGGGGCTTTACCTGCCTGAACATCACAAAGACACCAACAAGCCCTGGTGTTTTGGGTGGCACTGTGGGCGCCTCTGCGGCAGAACTGACCTGTCTGACAAGCCCCTTCAGCAGCTCGCATCCTGAGGACGCCACGGCCACGGGCCTGTGATCGCATCTGCGCGCCGGCACGCACCAGCGCCTTAACATCATCTTCATCGGGGCGCTGGCGTTTCAGAGTTGAGCCCGTCTGCCCAGAGGCTCTTCATAAAACACAGCCCACTCGCCGCTTTTCCTCCCCGCCGTGGCTTGCTCCCCCAGAGGGCAAGTGGAAGGAATTGAGTCTCACAATAATTTCTACTCAGATTTTATTTTCTCAGCTGGGGTTTCTAATGCTGAGGCTCTTCAAAGTCTTTTTTGCCCTTTTTCTTTCTGGCTACAACCAGAAGGATTTTCTATGTCTACAGCCGCAGAGCAGAGGCCCTGGCCAGGTGCTGCTTGAAAGTGTGCAGACGTTTGGCGCAACGGAAGATCTTCTCCCATCGAAGGGGCATCGTTCAACCCTCAGCCAAGCAGTAAATCAAGAAGACTATGAGGATGGAGAAAAGGCCTCTGTGTGAGCGTGACATCCGTGCACCCCCAAATTCTTTTGATAACATTGTCGCTCTTGAAATTTGGTTTTCCCATATGAAAAAGATTTGGTTCCTATGAACCCAGCTTGCAGCTGCTGTGAGTTGAAAACCAACCCATGGAACGGCCGTGGGAGCACAGCTGAGTGACTTAGGCTGCAGACTTTAAGCTGGGCTGTGACACGATTTCTCAGCGCTCAGGAGACATGGTGCAAACAGGCTCTCCTGAAAATGCTCAGCACTTGACAGAATACAACCTTGGTTTGTTTCATTTCATGGGTTTGAACCTATTGAAGGGGCATCTGTTTCAGTCAACTAGATGTCAGAATTTCTCTTCTCAAGCGCACTGAATCCAGAGGTATAAAGTTAGCACAAACCGGCTGGTGACTGGCTCTGTATGGAACCGTTAAGAACAAACACTGAAGTAAAAATCAACAAGCAACTATAAACCAGAGACACAGTACAGGGGGGCGGGAGGAGGAAGTAGGATCAAAACAAGGGGGGTGGGAATTGCACGGGGACTATAACCAAGATGAAAATGCATACACTGTGCAAAAAAATGAAAAATGATGTAAAAAATAAAAGAAAAAAGGAAAAAATACTGAATTTAAAAAAAAGAACAAACACTAAGTTCAACATCATCTCAAGTTCAAGCGGCAATAACCTTGAGAAGTCAAGGACTCAAGTCCTTTCCTGCAAACGGCGCTGTTTGAACTTCGCCAGGTAAGACGGTGTGACCGGAGTCCTCCTGGCCCCCGCCCGGGCATCCTCACGAATCGCCCGCAGTTCATCCAGCATGTGGGGCAGAGTGTCAGGAAGTTCTTGCATCGAATCCCAATTTCCTCTCTTGATTTAAACATTGCTTGGACTTGCTTCAGCTGGGAAGTCGATAAAACATCAGTCTTAGCCACAGAGACCAGGGTTCTCACTATTCTGGAGGCCGGAAGCGAGCAGGGCCTGGCCCTGGGGGCTCCCGGTTGCAGAGGCCCCCTCATTGCGTGTCCCGGAGTGTCTCTTCCTGCCTGGCCCTGCTCCGGTTCCCGGAGCCTGCGGTGACGGCGTTGCACCCCAGTCACCGCCCCAAGGCCCCTGAGCATCATACCAGGGGTTCAGGCTCAGGGGCACTGGATGCAAATGTTCAATCCATAGTATCTCATCTCACACTTAGTTTTCAAAATAGAATCTCGGCCGGGCAGGGAGCAACCCACGTGGCGCAGCCGATCTCTCCTGTCTCGCCCGCTGCTCCCCTCAGCAGTGTATTTCACTCAGTCTGCCTATTCTGTTCCCCGCTCTGTCTCTGGTGGATCCTCTCACACCCCCACATCTCTAGCCTGTGCCCCAGATCTTGTATGCATAAATAAATCTTAAAAAAAAAATCCTGTGAATGCCCCCTCTCAGCTGGCCCTGTGTAGTTCCTCCTTGTCTCTTTAAACATGCGATGCTACAAAACGATCTCTAGACCACAGGTGTTCACATCTGTGCGTGCAGGTTTGTAGTATCTAGCCAGCATCTGAAAAAAATAATAACTTGAATTGATACTTCACTGTATATATTAAAAAAAAAAAACCTTCAGGTTAAAGGAAGAAGGAAATTTTTTAACAATTTAACTTTAAGAATGCTAAAAGGGAATATGGAAATTTTGCTAGTAACTTCACAGTAGGGGGAAGCTTTTAAGCAAAATTCCCAAACTCAAATTACTCTGATAAATGTTGTATTTGGCTACATAAAAAACTAATACTGAATGCATGGCAAATTAAATAACAGTAATAAGGTAAAAACAAAACAATAAATTATGATAATATTTCTAACATATTATAAGCAAACAACCAATATCTTTAAGACATAAGGAGTTACACATCACAACAAAAATAAAACAACGTAATACAAAATGGGACTATAAACGTGAATATTATAAAACATATTTAAAAACTTCAACCTTGTTTATTCAAAATACAATAAAAGTGTAGTGGCAGGAGGACACGGAGCAGGGTCTCTGTGCCCCAAGCAGACGGAGTGAAGGAGGAGTCCTGGAGCCCTCAGGGGCTTTTCAGGTTTTTATTGGGATTTTACTGGGTACACAGCAGGCAGGGGTGTGGGGCGGGGGTGGCTGGGAGGCCTCCCAGCCTCCAGCAAGTCTTCACTCCTTCTGGGCTCTCCGGCCTTCTCTGGTGGCCCCTGCTTCTCCTTCGGTCTCTCTTTCACTCTCGTTCTCTCTGCTTCTGCTGGCATCCCTGTGACGCCTCCCTTATAAGCCCAGACTCAGCCCAGGTGAACCCCATCTACCTATGCCCACACCCTACTCCAGGTGCCGCCATTAGGCATGCATCCAGGACCACAGGATCCATCATCAATCCTAGCAGGGGGAGGGCAGAAAAGCCTGATGCTTTTTCACTTACCCTACAAAAAGCTAAATGAGATACCAGTTTCCCCATTACTGGATTATCAAATGTTTTTTAATATTTATTTACTTATGCATACAAGAACCGGGGTACAGGCCAGAGGCATGGGGGGTGAGAGGATTCACCAGAGACAGAGTGGGGAGCAGAACAGGCGGAGCCACTGTAACACACTGCTGAGGGGAGCAGCGGGGAGACAGGAGAGGTCTGTCACGCCATGTGGGTAGCTCCCTGGCCGGGGCTCAAACTCATGCTGCAGAGGCTGCAGGTAGCTTCATAGTGCTGTGCCACCATGGAGGCCCCAGGATTATCAAATGTTTTTAAAGCTTGGAGAGTGTTGGCCAAAGTGTGGAGTGTAAGGGCAGGACTGGACACAAGGCAGGTTCTCTCATCCCATGCAGACCCGGTAAAGGAGGAGTCAGAGTCCTCAGTAGTTTTGCAGGTTTTTTATTTGGGGTTCACCAGGCATATGGCAGGCAGGGGTGCTGGCTGGGGGGCTGGGAGGCTGGCAGGCCTCCCAGCCCCCCAGCAAGTCTTCACTCTATCTGGGCTCTCTAGCGTTCGTTCTGCTGCTTCTCGGCTTCTCTTTCGGCTTCTGCTTCGGCTTCTACTGCTGCTACTACTACTGCTGCTGCTGCTGCTGGCGTCCCCATGACGCCGCCCTTAAAAAGCACAGTCTTAGCTCAGCTGAATCCCATCTACCTAGGCCCACACCCCACTCCAGGTGCCGCCATCAGGCATGATTCAGGACAAGGATCCATCATCTATCCTGATGGCGGAAGGGCAGAAAAGCCTGACATTTTCTTTACCCTACAGTGGAGAAATCCATTCTTACCCGTTGCTGGCTGAAGCGTTCCTTCCTACCCCTTCTCCGAAGAGGAAAATGCATCATGATCCGAGTTTCAACAGCGCAGACACCTTGACTTGAGACACCAACACTTGCAGACGGCGCACACCTGAGCCATGTACTGGGGCGGGAAGACAAATTCAATTTACCCAGCGAAATGCCGAGTCCCTCTGGAATGAATGGGGGGTAGACTCACAGGTTTTGCCTTAATGCCTCATCAGTGAATGAAAGACATTAAAAATAACACAACCGTGGGGCCTCCCCTGGTGGCGCAGCGGTTAAGTGCTGGGCTGCGAGGCTGCCCGCAGCCTCTGCAGCGCCAGTTCGTTCCCCGGCCACCGGCGAGGGTCCCACAAAAAAATAAATAACACAACCGTAACTTCCCTGATGATATTCTGGGAGGGAAATTTCCATCTGGGAGGGAAGTTTCCATCTGGGAAGGTCACCAGTAGAAGACGTTTCCCCGCCATTTCCGCCAAACCGCTGCTCAGACGATGACTTTCTCGTCCCTAAAGCACTTGTCTGTTTCCGCCGCTCACCCCAGGGCGACCAGCACACTCTCTCCTTGTTGTCAAGGTCCCAGCTGCTGTTCTTTATTCTGTGTTGCCCCCAAAAACCTGCATTTGGTGAGCATCCACTTTGCGCCAGGCCCTTGCCAGCTTCCCCGGGTAACCCTAAAGCAGGCCTGGTTGCCGGCACATCCTCAATTTGAGCACCAAGTTCTCTAATAATCAAGCAATAAACAGGACTCCCTTTGGAAAAATAATACCCTGTTGTATCTCCAGTTCCAAAGCTGGAAACAATAACTGTAAAAATCAGAACAAAACTTTAAATAATCTAATATAATCATATGTATGTTTTGATAATTAAACTATATATATTTTTATGATCCATTACTTAATTGAATAATGATGATCATTCTAAAGAGTCGGAAAATCAGAAAGCAACAAAACGGGGCGCTGAGTTTTGCTTTGGGGTCTAAGACTTATGTGGGCTTTTTTGTTTTAGTTCTTCTCCTTTCTTTTTTTGTTTGGAAAGAGTAGCTGAGCACCAGTAGGTCAAGATGGTTAAAAACAAAATCATTTTTAACCACTTAGCCAGAAATTTGTTGGAAGTGAACTCACCGCTGTCAAACGAAACAAAACAAAACAAGGTACACTAACTACACAAAAACAAAACGACACTGTAATACCAGTTTTTAAACATATATGATATTTTGCTTTTGATTTGTTGGAACCAAATCCAGGTTGGGGGGAGACCCCCATATTATTTTTCACATTTTTCTGGTTTGATTCATCTGTTTTCAAATACTGTCACTTCTTTCATGCGGAGTCACTTCCATGTGGGTTATATTAATGTGACTCCCACCCACTGAGAGTAACTCTTGGAATTATTCATCAAAAAGTAATTCGTCTCCACACAATGATTTAATCGATATGTGTTATAAACCAAAACCATCCTATCATTATTTTCATAGAGTTACATTTGAGAGAAAAGAATTTGGAAAAAATGGACAGTATTCTCAACCTGGAAGATTCCAGGTCACCCGGTAGTTGTGTGGGACTGTTTTTAGAGATGTGAACATCTCAATATATTTTGCAATAAAAAATGTAATTAGGAAACATCACAAATCATCATGTGTTTGAGCTGACTGGAAGCAATTCGATGTTCATTTTCTCTTGCAGTCTGGGATATTAACCTTCAGAATATTTCCCAGCAGACCAAAGTCATTACTTTTATAGAGAAGGCCGACTCAGCTAAGCCAGGAGGCACGATCTATATTTATCACCCAGTAGCTGCGGCGAGTGGAGCTGGGGGGTTACAGGTGAATCAAGCACCGTCAGGTTCTGGGAGTCGGCCGTGCCCACCTGGGCCGAGAGCTGCGAGACAGCGAGCGGGCCAGGCCAGGGCATGTCAGCTGCGGGGAAGAGCGTGGACCTTCCAGTGGGCCCCAAAGGCCAAGGTGCTTTCAAGGAACGCCAGGCTCCCTGGAAGCGGTGCGCAGAGAGCCTGTGGGGCGGATGTGGGCGAGAGCCGGGGAAAGGCAGGTGGAGGCTGTCAGCTCATCAATCTTTGCACTGTCAGAGCAGCAGGTGCTACCGTTTTAAATCTTTAAAATCTACTTGAAGGACTTCAAAGGCTCCAAGCAATAGCAACAAACCCATGGCAACTGCAACCAACGCTCCGAAGGGGTGAAATGGCCTCGTTGTCCACACTCAATGGCACGCATCCTGATTCACTTTGGTGGTTTTCCTCACTGTTGGTGATGGGGTCCAGTGAGCGGGTCCAGTGAGCGGGTCCAGTGAGCGGGTCCGGTGAGCGGGGTTGCGATGTTATCTATTGTGGAATCTGCCACTTCTGAGCTCCGGGTAGACTCATCTGCCAAGATGGTCTGATTTTAGTCTTTTCCCACAGACTGGTTTAATGACTGATTCATCCTTAATTTCTGGCTTGTTCAGCTTCCATTCCAAATTTTCTGCTCTAAGCTTCCCTCCCGTGTCCTGGGAAGCTGTGGCCCTCACACACCTGGCCTCTCGCCTCCCGCCCGAGGTGGCCTGAGGTATGCCTTCAGAGCTGCCCAGGGTCTGAATGCCAGCGCTCTCCCGCCTCTGAGGCTAGTCTTGCTCCGGTGGGCGGTGGGTGTGCGGCTGTGTCCGCGGCTGGGCCTGACTGCTGTTCTCTGAAAGTCAAGGCTGCACAGCAGTGAAACACAGACTTTATCAGACCATCAAAGTGAGGATTTGAACCTGGGAAGCCGTCCCACAGATCTGACTCTGAGAGCTGCTCCCACCAGCACGTGTTGAGTTTACGCAGGAAGAAACAATGAGTCACCGACATAAAACAAAACATCTTGACTCTTGACAGAGGGGACGTCTCGTTCTGAGTTGCCCTGACCTGAAGACGGGCGGCTGCGGGAGGGAGGCCAGCAGGACTCGACCGCTCCCTTTCCAGAACCCCCCGCAGAGATGCAGCCGGTGCCCACGGCTGGACCTCCCCACCCTCAGCTCCTCGGTCAGCAGTGCAGGTGGAAGGGTCTGACCCCCCCGGCCCCGCCCGGCGGCAGCTTCTGCACAGCTGCTCAGAAGGAAGGTCGAACCTCACTGCCCCGGCTGCCAGCGTGGTCTAGTGTTCATGCTGCTGATTCTCCACTGAGCCCACGCGCCCCTGCCTTGGTCCCAGCCACACCCGGCTCATGCGCTGACCACCAGGGGCCTCTGCGACAGCCTCCTCCTGGCATCCAGACAAGCAAACTTGCACAGAGTCTCAGCGGGGCCTGCGGTAAAGAGCGGCCAGAGGGATGGGGTGTTGCAAAGAAAGTCCACACTCCCCTAAGGTTGTGCAAAGTAAATTCTCCTGCATTCTGGAGTGTTCTGCCAAAACTGCAGGCCAGGGGTCAGGACTAAAGAACTTTGCTAGTTACTTCAAGTGTCGAGGGATTTCTTCTGTCTCTTTCCTAAGTAAGAGAAAAGGCCCTGGGATGAAGCAGGCCTCCCTGTTGACCAGAAAGTGTCTGGGGTCTCCAGATCCATTTCCCAGGCCCCTCAAGTCACCAGTGACTTCCACAAGAGGGATTTGTACCCCATGAGGAAGGAAATTCTTTGGGGGGGTAGGGAGGAGGCACCACAAAATCTTACTCTTCTTGTGTATAAAGCACAGCCATGCCTAACAATATAAGCAGATGGAAAGTGTATCGTGGTAACATTTCATAGACGAGGTAATTAGAGAAATACCTGTTGAAAGGTTTCCTTGGGGGGATTATAATGAAAACAAAAAGGTTGAGAAATAGCACTTTAGGGGGATGAAACTGGCCCATAAGAAAAACAAATTCAATTCAAAACATAGTTATTGGAAACCCAGTGTTGTGCCTGGCGTTGTGCCCGCTCGGGGCAGGGAGACGGGACGAAGGCGACTTTAGAGAGACTTTGAATAAGGGCACAGGGCACGTGGCTCAGCCCTGCCAGAGAGGAAACCCTGGGGCTGCAAACCAGCCGTTTCACTCGTAATGTGAACAGACGATCACACAAGTGTGGGAGACACTCACCTTAGACCCACCTGAGACAAAAAGGATGGACAGTAGATGATAGGTAGTAGCTAGCTAGCTAGACAGACAGATAATAGACAGACACACAGACAACAGATCCGGATGGCGGGAAGGAGGAAACGTGGTAAGAGAGGACGGAGGAGGGGCGCTGGGACTGGGCGGGCAGAGGTGATGCCGGCAGGCGGCTGGATGTCTGGGGCTAGATGCTGGAGAGACAGACAGGGAGAGGACGCGAGCAGAATGAACGCTGCGTGGATGACGGCTTGTCCAGAAAAGCTTCCTGGGTAACGGCAGTAAGTCACAGTGAGCCTTGGACGGAATGCAGAGTTCAGAATCTGCACAGGAGAGAACATTCTGTCTGGGGGGAGGGGCCGCTGTGCGGGTGGCCGGAGAGGGGACGGCGGCACGGCGTACAGAGAGGGACCTGGCGAGCCCCTTCAGGACCCAACCAGAGCGGAGACGGCACCCGGGAAGCCACTTCAGAGCAGCTGGGCCTCCGGAAGCCTGTTGCCTGGCGTTCTGGCCTTCTTGGGAGAATCACTCATTCCAAAGGAAAAGCAAGAGCACGTGGTGCACGTTCCCACGGGCGTGGGGAACGCGAGGATGGCGTCGGGCACAGACAGCAAAGCCAGACACCACCACGGAGGAGATGACTTTAACGACTCCTTTAGAAATTCAGTTTCTCGTCGACCCATCGCTCCCACTACGTTCTGGAAAACAGAAGCAAAAGTAAACATCACCCCTGCCTGGCTTGACAAAGCTGAATTTAGTTGAAGCCTATTTTCCCCACTGGCTGCACCGGGGCCCTCCTGGGACACCGAGTCCCGCGCGTGGCGTGCTCTCTTCAGCTCAGGCCATCTCAGTGGGCCCGGGACGGACCCGCCTCTTTCCTAAGGCGGGACATTCTCCCACGCGCTCCTGCTGGAAGGGAACGTTTGCGCTCTGGATGTGCTCGCAAGTGCGAGGAGATTACATCGGCTAGAAGAGAACAAAGAAGAATCCAGAAGCCGTACCAGCTTCGAATGCACCCACGTATCGACAGCAGCCCCTGAGCTAAGTTCACGCTCTCTGCAAGGCCTCGTATTGTTTCCCACGTTCTCTCACTTCCGCTGCGTCGCCCAGGGTGAGCCGCGTGGAGACAGGCGCTGTCCGCTGCGGTCGAAGGCGAGCTGCGTGCTGAGAGCGACGGGGTCTTTTCTTTCAGGGCCACGACAACAAAGGCAGGGGCTGGGGGTGGGGGCTGGAGTCTCCGCTAAGCCACAGAGACTGGTGACATAGTCAGAGGCTGAGGATCCAGAGAACAGTTCTGGCCAAATCTGGAGAAGCCGACACAGCGAGACTTCAGGACCAAGTGAAGAGTATCCGGGAGGCAGCCCGGACCGGCTTGCTTCCCTCCATGCACAAGACTGGAAACCCGAAGAAGCAGAAGGGCGGCAGGAGAGGGGGGCAGACACAGGCAGGCAGGGAACTCAGGGTGCTCCTGAGGGTGTGCCCCAGCCCTGCCCCACCGGCCGGATGTGGGGAGAGGAGGGCTTGGGAGACAGCCTCCCCCCCCCCGCCCCCGAGGGCCAGGGTTCTTCTGTCCCATTATTTTCACCTCAATTAAGATCTCACTGGAGTGAGAACTGCCCGGATTGGGGCTGCACATCCTGCTTCTGCTCCCTCTCCAGTGCAGCACGAGTGTCAGCTCCTCCTCAGGCTCCTCACCCTCCTGGCATAAAACAAAGCATATTAAAACCCTTATAAAGGGAAGTCAGATCTCTCTGGCAATAAGAATGATTTACTGACATCATCGTCTTCTTAAAAGCTAATCTGGAAGGGTCAGAGGAGAGGGGAAATGGAAAAGCTTTTATTCCTGGAAAAAGGCCTAAAATAGTCGGAAAAAAATTATATGACAAAATCTTGAAAACACTGTTCTTCTGTTTGCCCGCAAGAAGAAATTTCTTTAAAGGCACAGCACTGTCGAGGGAGAAACTACTAGAAGATTCTTTCTGAACAGCAACGGCGAGGCCAACGCCGGCTTCTTTGGAGCGGCGCGAAGGTGGAGTGGCTCTGAGGAGGCCGTGCCCCGGCCAGAGGGGACGGGGCGAAGCCCGGGATCCCGAGCGGCCGGGCAGAGCACGCCTCCCGCAGGTGGGCCGTGTCTGCCCGGCTCTGTCGCCTGATCTCCTGGTGAAGACAGCGATGCACGGAGCCCATTTTAAAATGCGTGCCACGGAGAGCGGACTCCGACGGGTACAAAGTGCTTGGTGACTGTGTGGTCCTGAGGCTCCGTCGTGAAGAGGCTGCTCCCGCGCGCTCGGGCATGGCTCGGCGGGGAAAGCCGGCCCCCATGTTTCAGGGACACCCCAGCCACCATGTGGGGGGTCGGCGATGAGCAACGCCTTCCTGTCAACACTGTTGGCGAGAAGCACCCGAGGGTGGCTTTTCCAGCCTCCGCCAAATCCTCAGGGGAGGCGGCCCAGCCAACCTGCGAGTGGATGTGTCACCTTCTCAGAACAGGTCTTCTCCCTGGAGTTTCCCCCCGGGGGACTGTGGCACTGGCTTCTCCCACCCATGCGCGTGTTGCTGCAGAGCTTCGGCCCCAGACGTCAGGTTTCTATTAGGATTTTGCTCTCCAGATACAGAAGGAGATGCCATAATGCCACCTCAGCTCTCGGCCTTCAGTTTTTACAGCAAACCTCAGGCGTCGTTATTACAAATCCTCCTTTTCACTTTATCTCAGGCGTCTTTTTGCAGCGTTAGCTTTTTTTTAACCGAATGATTTCTTTCCGAGACAATAGTCGATTATATAGTTGCCTTGGGGGACCCATAAATAGTTCATTTTTATACTTCCCTTATTAGTGTACAGACAAGAAGGGCTCCTTGAAGAACTGGAAAGGAAATGCAAATAATTTCGATCAAAGCCTTTTTGTGTGTTTTTTAAAAAACTGCTCTGAGAGGAAGCAAAAGCCCCATGTCTGCCCACTAGCGTCCTCCACGAAGGCTTGACCTGGGGCCGCCTGTGGTCTCTGGGGCCCGAGGGGCCGGCCGGCTCCCGCCGCCCACCACAGACTCTCCGCAGCCAGGCCTGCCTGGGCTCCCGCGTCAGCTCCGGCCAGCTGAGCGAGGCAGGCACCTGGAATTAGCGCCTCCTGGGGCTCAGGTCGGTGTCCTCTGACCTCTGACCTTGCTGCTCCTCAAAATGACCAGTTTTCGCTGCCTCAGCTCTGCATCCTCTGGGGCTTCCTGCCGCTCTGCCCCGCTCCCTGTCAGCCCCTCCTCGGCGCCCCCCCTTCCCGCCTCTGGCCACCCCTTCTCCGCCCTCAGCCTGCAGGGCTTCCCAGCTGACATGTCTGTCCCGCTCACCGGCACCTGGGGGTCTGGGCGGCCAGAGCTGTGTCGCTGAGCTGAAGCCCTCGTCGTCCTCGGAGGAGGAGCCCAAGCGTCTCGGGCACAGAGCTCACCACCCCCTCTGGCCTGCGGCCTCTCACCCCCTCTGGGGGGCCCCGCCTGGATGGGAACAGCTGGTTCGGGGTGTGGGGCTGGCGGGACGCTGGGGGCCAGCACCAGGACCTCCTTCCAACATTAACTTTTAAATGTTTTTGGAAGCAAGTGTAGACCCACTGGCTGCTGTAAAGTGGGAGGAAGGGCTCACGAACCTTCAGTCTGGCTTCTTCCGAGGGGACATTTATGTGAATGCAAGACAACCTCAAAGCCAGGACGGTGACCCTGCTGCGCTGCTACAGGGCAGACATGCTCAGGTCCTGCCTGTTTTCACATGCACATGGGTGTTTTATGTGTGTGCATGCATGATCATGCATGCACATGTGTGCGAGGATGTTGTATTGCTTCTGCCCTGTGCAGTGCGTGCTCGTGTACTTGTATGTGCTTGCGTGTGGTGTACACATGTGTGTTTGTGCCTGTGTGCCTATGTGTATGTGTGTGCACATGTGTGTTTGTGCCTGTGTGCCTATGTGTATGTGTGTGCCTGTGTGTTGTGTGTGTGCCTGTGTGTTATGTGTGTGATTGTGTGTGGTGTGTGCGATTGTGTGTGGTGTGTGCGATTGTGTGTGGTGTGTGCTTGTGCATGTGTGTGTGTTATGTGTGTGCAATCGGATCCCATATGTGACCCCCCCCCAGGCACACGCAGAGCCTCTGTCCCAGGGAAGGCGCTCTCCTCCTGCCCCCGCAGCCACTGAGTGCCCTGCTGGGATTTCATTCGCCCCAAGGGCTGGCCCACCACCCTGGCTGGGATCTCGTTGATGAGTTTCTGCCAGATTTCACTTGGCATCCAGACGAATTAAACATGAGGGGAAATCAGAGCGGGACACAATGACCTTTTAGCAAACTGAAGAAAGTAATTCATTTACCTTGTTGTTCTTCTCCCTCTTTCCTAGTGGAATAAATTTTCGTTGCTTGTTCAGACAATGGGAGAGTCTTCAAAGATAATCTAAAGAGAAAAGGTCAATTTGCACTTAAAAAAATAGCAGTACAGCCTCATTCCAATTAGAAACAAATCTATTCCCCAATAATTAAGCTAAGTATTTACCTTAAGAGCAGTAAAGAGAAAACTTGGTTTCAGCAGCTTAACAGGAACTCCATAGCACCCTAAAAATCCAGGTTGTTGGCAATGACTCTAAATCCTAATCTGAACTTCAAGTCTTTTTCATCCAAATCTGTTCCTATTATTTTTGAATAAATACACAGGCAGTTCCTAAGGGAACGGAACTTAGAGCATTTATAGACCAAAGAACCAAAATGGCAGCAAACATCTGGAAATTTGTAATTAAATGAGTGGTTCTCAAAATGTGTACACTCAACATTTGACAAGCTTTCATATCTGGAACATGGTTGTTTTTATGTTTATTATATATATGTAACAATGATATCTTGACTGTATATATTACATTGTTATCTATTTGTATGATAATACATAACTATGATAATATCGTTATACTAACCTGTATCATTGAATATTATTACTGTGTATACTTTACTTAATAAAGCATATATATAGTATTATTATTGTATAGAATAGTATTATTTTATATAATACAAGTCACTCAGCACCACATGAACATGAGAACCCCGCTTTTTACATCCTGTATTTAGATTTCTGGGGATGTTCGAGCAGTTAGCTTTGCAAAGTCAGGGGGGGTCACTTCACTGTGAGCCCGGCCTTGAATCCCTCCCAAGCTCTTGAGCACCTGAGTGTTTGACAAATAAATGTTGACTCTTCTTTTGGATTGTAAGTCCCTTTATGACTAAATCCTATATTCTTTTGATCCAACTAATGTCCAATCACAGTCCCTATTAGGCCCACACACAGAATGAACAAACTGGG